ACCGCTGTTAAATTGTATGATGGAAGCATTAATTTATTTTTTAAAAGTTGATAAAGCATTTTTTTATTTTGGATAAATTAGTATTTTTGGCGTTAATTCAATACTATATTTCTTTACAATTTTTAAATAAAGTATAACTTTACCTTATTGTTAATAATATTAGTTTTTGCATTTTTACATTTTAAGGTCAACCCTAGTGAAAAATTTATAATAGGCTTTAATTAATTAAAAAATTTTTATAGAATATTTCTAATTTTTTTTCTCACAAGGATAAGATTATAGTTAATTAAGTTCCACTCTTTGACTACTTCAAAGTTAAAGCTTTTCTCTATCCATTTACTTCCATTTTAGGGGATGGGCCTACCAGGAATTTCAAGCTGAAACTATTTTTTAATAGTTTACGAATTTCGTATATCGCCAGTAACAGTAAAAGTATTTTAGTAGCTTTAAAAAAATTATATATATATATAAAAAAGGCTATAATTGTATTCTTCGAAATAGTCTTCCCGCTATGAAAATAAACTTAAAGGTAATTCAAGAGTTGTAAAAAAATTTAGCTAGTGTACAGCGCATTAAAAAGTATAAAAAATATGGTACTAAATTATTATAATATTATTATTTAGCTGTGGTGGGTATATAATTATAGAAAACTAGTGTCAAAAGCAGGATCAACGATAAATTGTGCCTTATACTTAAAATAAATAATGCAAAAGTCAAATTAGTTCTCACCAAGATAGTTAATATTAAATAGCCTCGTACTCTCGTAAAAGTTAAGTTATTGTATTTTTTTCTATTGTGCATAGCTTTCCTAGACATCCTTTACACTTATTTATATACTTCAAAAAACAAGGCATTAGTGCTGATCTTAATTAAATTCTTTTTGATAAATAATTTTCAATATACATGTCATAGAATTGCAAGACTAAAAGTATTAAAATTATTTAAACTCTTAGATCTGCCGACGAGAGAAGACAAAGCTAACTGCTTCAACGAACCAATTTTTGTTTCAAATTTTTAAAATCTCGGTTTTTTACCTATTAAATTATTTTGAAAGTACTATGTTTTTCCATAACACAACAGTTTATATATAATGAAATTAAAGTAAGTGAAAGAACTAGAGGTAATAACCATAGACTTTTTAAATAAAAAGTTTCCAGGATACTCCTGATGTGAAAATAAAGTTGCTGCCTCCTTTTATGGAGCTTCACAGGTTGCCATCCGTTGAGGGAATGCAACGTGAATGCAGAAACATCTGTATCGGGTCATGTCACCCTCTACGGCTTGCAAGGGCTTACTTAACTCTTTAGCTACTATTGCTAAAACAGGGGCTATTGTAAGGCTTAAAACACCTTAAAGTTGTTAACTCCAACTTAACTTTTGTGAATTACCTACGTAAACATAGTTCTATTACAAGTAATCAAAAATTATTTCTCAGGTGATATAATTACTAGAAGTAATATGGGTAATTGTAACAAAATGTTAGTATATGTAAGTAAAAAAAAAAAATTACGATAACACCAATGCCAACAACGGTTAGTAAGAAGAAAAGGAAGTTTTTCCCCTCGATTGCTTGACAAGTTTTTATTTTGTTTCATTAAGTGATGGGAGGAAACTGCTACATTTATGGGCACACCAAAGCTCTAGCTTCTCAGTTTGCCCTCTCTTTGGCGTAAATGCAGGCAAATATTAAAGTACTAATAAAAAACATAGGAAATGGCATCAACGTTGAAGACATCGACCGATAGTAGTAAAAATTGCCGGTAAGTAATGGCATAGGATTCCAGTGGGGGCACAATTCAATTGTTTATATTTTATCAGGGCGCCCGTGTTCCCCAGCCTGTCAAAGGCAGTCCTTAGAAGGACTGAATTTGTGTAATGAAAGTTTACTAAATTTCAAAACAAAGAGTATAATGGCGGTTTAGCGAAATGCTTCTTTTAGTTTCGTAGATGGTCTACGATAACAATTGAATATGGGGTAGAACTCTATACATGCAATTCTCCTTTTCATTGGTCTTAGTTTACTCCTCCAATAGGTTACCTACCTACCGATTAACTAAATAACGCATATTAAGTATACAAATAGTTAAACAAAACTTTTTATTATTATAACACTGGAAATCAACATTTCACAGCCTAACCTACGCAGTGCGTACTTATTAGAAGCCACAATATTTCTGACTAGAGAGAGGTAACTATATGGCTATTGAGCAATCAGGTGGTTCTTTAACCAAAACCATTGTTTACAGCTACAGGATATAGCTGTACGCCCGCATATAGAATTAATGAAGTAACTTGGGTGAGGCTGCCGTATAGAATGAAAAAGGAGGGATCTAAAAGTGGTAATCACGTTAAATTTTCTTGAGTTAACAATCCTTATGTGATCTGGAATTTTCTGTGTATTATAAAAGTTTCTATATTACAAACTGAAAACGAGAGATTGAACCCGAGCGTTTTAAAAGTTTAGCTTAAACAACTTTTATGGAAGGTCTCAGATATACTGTGGCCGAAATTTCAGATCCTGAAAGGCCTTGGCTACAATTTTCATAAGTTTTGGAATTTCTACGTTAGGTAGTGCTCCTAACAGGAAATAAATTAAGAGTAGAATAATACCCTTTCCTTTACAAAATTCTTTAAATTTGTAATTTATGTAGATTTCGCTTCTTTAGAAAAAGCCCATTGGCTCATAATTTTGCCTACTAGAATAGTTCATGACTCAAATATATATTTGACGATTTATGTCATGGAAAAAGTCATAACTATCCTGCTTTACTGTTTTTTTCGCTTGTTTATTACCTAAAAATGTAGTGTGCGGACCTAAGAAGCTAAAATGGTAGAAAAACTGCTGGGTAATAATTTATAAATTTTAATTGATAACTTGTTTGCTGGGGGCCTTCATAGTAATCACGAGTCTGACCGTTGTCTATCGTAGTTAACACATTTCGTTTGTAAATACCAGTGTATTGCCTCATATCAATACCAAACAAAAAGCTAAATTAAATAATATTTTAGTCCTTTAGAAAATTTTTATATTGTACAAAAAGGTCACATTTATATCAATTAGTAACGATTACGGCGCTAATTAAAGTTATACTATAGCCTTTCAAACTACCTGAACAAAGTAAGCTCAAAAAAAGAATTAGTAGTTTTCTTTATAATTTGGAGCAAATTTACAACTTGGGTTTATCATTTTCATAAAATAAGTAACAGAGCGTACACAAATTAAAACATTATGACAGATATATTTATACTTGGCTGAAGTTTTATTGCTTACTAAATTTATAGGGAAGCGGAAATTTAAGCTTTTTTAGGTATGTTAACATTAATTAGGCCTGTCTCACCTAACCATTAGATATACTTTAAGTCCAAAAAAGAGGTGAAAAACGCCAAAAAACTTTAAGAGTTCCGACGCATTTACTTAATAACTGCACGCTAACGTTTTTTTACTTTAGCCAATAAAAAGTAAACACTTTATTAACCGGTTAAGAGGGCAATAATATAGGCACTTAAAAAGATAAAGAAATTTGATATAGCTTTATCTTCTCCGCTTATCTTTTTTCTCAGTGAGGTGTACATGGAGAATTGCGGTTCCTGGGGCTCTTTATAAACGAATGTTCCTCAGCTACTTCCGTTCTGGCAGAGGGTTTGAGTGTGATGAGGTGTTTACCCGGTCACGTGAAGTAGGGCCGGAAGAATACTCCTTAGCCGGTGCTTCGATAGTTGAGTCTTCATTCAAGTAGGGTCTTTGACCAGTACTTCTGTCTTTGACTGAGCATTAGAATGCCCAGAGGTCCTCATATGCCCATGTGAAGTAAGGGTTGAAGAAAAACCCTTAGATGAGGCTAGAGGAATTGAGTTTACACATGGATGAAGCCCCTGTGGCGTTTCTGGATCTCCATTTTCACTCGGAGGGCCCACATCTGAATGGGAACAGCTCTCTTTGTTAAAAAATAAATAGAAACTAGATTCATTAGTGTATCTCTGGGAAAGGTGGGAATCATTCTTGTAAGAAATTCTTGGGCAACAGAGAAATTTTTTCTGAGATATATGCCTGCGGGCCCGTAGGATATTGGCTTAAGTTACTAAGCATTCTCAAGGACAGAAAATAAATTTACTTACACAACCTCAGAATCATAAAATGCAATATGTTCAATAAAGCGAATAGGGTTATCTCTTAAATTTCTGGCGTATTAATAATAAAAATTTGTAGGTACCGTCTATTATAGTCAGTAAAAGGTTTAAAAACAATAGAGCAGTCATTAAATTTGCTTTAAGAATACTTACTAATGATTGGAAACTAAAGAATACTGAACATATTTAACTTCGCGTTTTTAACGTGTTTATAAAATGTTTGTGTATCTATTTGTAAAATAAACTCACAAATATGTTAATGAGCTTAGTTTTGAAAATGCGTAAGATGGAATGGATTCGATTAAATTTTTTGACAAATCTCAAAGTAATTAGATTAAAAATATATTGATAAAAATAGAGTACAAAAATACTTCTATGAAGACCTTTAACATAATACTAATTTGATTATGATAAAATGCAGACAGTAAGTACAACTATATTATACGAATTTTCTAGTTTTAACAGGCCTAATAGAGTTTTATTATTAATATATATTTGATTTGTTGTCCTGCAAAAACCTAGTAGTATCAATAGAGAATTAAAGAATAAGAAATTTAAAGAAATATGTAACGCTTACAGCATATCTAGGTTGGGCATTTCAGAAAACGTTTCATCACCCACTAATTTAAGAGAATTTTCATAAAGCACTCTGTACCGGCGAAAAGCAAGAAATAATCATGTTAGTAAATAATAGTAGCAGGCATCTGGCTTACTATATCGTTTCTCAATATGCCAAAGCAATATTTGTAAATATAACTATTATTTGGGATACGACATTACTCTTATCTATCAGGTAACAATCATAACTTGGTATGCATTTTTTAAGGATGCACCAACTTTACACAATACGTATGTAGACAACTTACAATTGCTATAACCCACTCAGTCTTTTAAACAGCTTTTTAATGACACTCTCAAGATTGTTTTTTTTTGAAGAAATCCTAGCAAATTTTTTTAATCATAGCATTGTCAAGAATTTATATAGAAACTTACAAAAATTTTAAATTGCCAAGATTTTCTAAAGCGCCATCTTCGACCTTAGTGATATCGTTCTTTCTAAGGTCTCTATTGTTTTTTAGTTGATAAACTTCAAATAAAATAAACTAAATTGCCTAAAATTGTTTTTTTTAAATAAAGTACAAGCTCGTTGCATGTAGTTAAATTTAATGTTAAGGAAATATCGAGCTATATGTTAACAGCAGACAAAGAGTTTTAGTAGAAGGCTTTTTAAGATATTTTTTAAACATATAACTAACTATAATCTCTTTAGTGTTGATTAAAAGTTTTTTAGCCAGAAATAATATGTTATCGTTGACTTCATAGATTAATTTCTAAATGGCAATGTTCTTTGAAAACATTACTACACACTCACTCTAATCTCCATCTCTACTTGCCATGGTACATAGCTTAAATTTTGTATATAACTTTTAAATACAAGGTTTCTTAAGTTTGTCTAGGTTAAGAACATAGATAAGATGTAATTTATTATAACTTACAAACCGAGTTAGTGAGACAAAGTTCATAAACGTTTCTTTAGAAACTTTTTTGATACTGTTTCCTGAAAGGTCACTTATACGTATATAGCTAGTTTTCTCTTGAGAAGTTAAATAGAAAAAAAGCTCACACTGTCTTTACGGATGCGGGAGAACTGACTTTTTCGGGATCAAATTCAGTTAAGTTACAATCATTTAATGAACTACAATAATAGTCATGAAATTTATAATGAAATTTTTTTTTTTTATTAGGAATTTATTTCAAAATATACTGAAAATCATTTTTCTTATATTTATTCAATAATAATTATTAAACTTTTCATAAAAACTAGGTTAAAAAGTTAAAAATTATTTAAAAGGGATTCCACGAGTGCTTCTAGTATGTTTCGTTAAATTTTACTGACTGCAATACGAGTAGGGAAGTTATAATTTTCTTATTACCGCAGTTACCCTATAGGGCAAAGCCGGGTCAAGTCAAACATAACCTAACCTACAATTCCTCCCGGATCACTTTGTAAAGACAAGACTGAGCTTCCTGAGACCTCCCCAGCAAAATAGCACTAAAAAGCAAAAGCGGAGACCAAAGCACAGCCGAGAAATTGAGGCAAAAAAGAAAATTACGTAGTTCTTTACTTATATATGCTATTTAACATACCAATGAATAACCTTATTTGTTTTTTGCGTCCATACGTTTCTTAAAGCATTAAGTACTAATAAGATAAATCAGCGTGTGTTTAAAAAAAAAATACTTACCAAGTTACTTATTTTAAGTTTTAAAAAAATTTTTGAACTGTTAATTTACATTAATTTTAATAGATATATTATTTAACTGTAAAAAGCTAATAAGAAACTTAAGAAATTAATTTTTCTTTAAATTAACATATCTGGCTCAACCTCAATGCGGTTATGCTTTGAAGTTATGCAGATCTAAATAAAAAATAAAATTTATAAAAATATTTATAAAGAATTCATATTTAATATCTGTAAAGTTAGGAGAAAGTCAAGAGTTATATACAAAATATTAACTTATACACAGCAACATACATATACGCATTAACGAACAACTAAAGTACGCAAAGATTAACCAACCATAAAATTATTCATATTTCTATAAACTGATATTTAGTTGAAATTACTCTACCAATAAGGTTATAAGATGCATTTCTTCAAGATTAACAGTTTATAATTTTTATGAATGGCTCATCTTTACACAATATCTTTTGTATGGTTAACTGTTCGTTCATGCATTGTATATATTTCTGTGTACGTATACTCAATAAAAAGGGCCAGGGGCACTTGAAATATTAGATGTCTTAGTATGATCCAAAAACTATTCTTAATATTTTACTGAAAGTTTAAAAATAAAAACATAGAAAAAAGTTATCTTGACTACATTTTAACGTGTTTTTAATGACAAAAAATTACTGTTATTTTAGTTATAAAGCAAAGCCCCAAAGCCCTTAACTACTTCAGTAATTCATAATTAAAATACAATGTTTAGTGTATTATGTTCATTAATTTAAAAAAGGCCTTATACCGCATGGACGGAAATTTGTAAAAATTTTGTTTTTAACTTGAATCCCCCAAATATATTATATTTAAGATAAAATGTTAATTCACAAGAGTGATAGAGTAACCACTTCAACTTAAAATATTTAAATCTTCTTATATCGTCTAAAAGGATAATATGGAGTATTTTACATTGCTCGTTTTGTTTATTCAATCTCATTAGATTATTTCACATTTCACAATAATAGTTTACAAAATTAGAATTGCCCATCATTTTGTTGCAGTAATAATCATCCAAGTTCACCAATCATAACAATGTTTATTAATTTTTTATTTTGAATAATTTTTAAGATACTCTAAATTTTCACTAGTTGCTCCCCTTAGTTTTTAATACATCTTTTTCACGTGTTGTAAATATTTTAATTGTTTCTAATAAAAACATGATTTACGCATGAAAAAAGCTCTCCTTATTATTCTAATGTTCTTATAGGTTTTACTTGCCTTTTACGTAAATCTTTTTGGAGTAACAAACCTTTTAATTATTTTCTAATGCTCTTGACTTATACAAGAGGGGCAGTCTTTTAAATTCCAACATAGCTTTTATTTTTACTAGTTTTTACCTTTGACTTTCTCAATATTTTAAGAAGATTTTTGGTGATAGCCCAAAATTTTCTATTGATGCGTACTATTTTTTGTAAATTTTGACGGCTTTCCATGTAAAGTACTTTAGAAAAAAAAAGGTTATGCCCTTATTTTAGCGTTTTTATAATCAGTTTTGCTTCGTCAATAACTTCTACTTGCTTTATATAGTACTCTAACTTACCTATTTAAATGTTATATAAGCCTTGAGCTCAAGGAAACTTTAAACAGTACTGCTTTATTATTATTTTTAAAATTACTTAATCTTTTTTACCCTTTGAACTTTGACTATAAACATAAAAAAAATAAGTTTGTTTGTGTCAAATCTGACTCTGTTATATCATACATTTAATGACTTTTTACTATAGAAAGAAAAGAATCTTTTGTTTATGTATAATCGTAATATATTTCTTGTTTAGCATTTAACTTTACCAGTTCGATTATTTTGTACACTTTGTACATGGTCAATAATTTTAATGCTCCTTTAGAACTTAGTTAAAAGGTTCAAGGCCAAGCAGTTTAGTAAATTTGTTATTAGAACAGTTTTTAGTTTTCATTATTCTTTTATTATACTTCTCCGTAACTACTTTAACAAATATAATTACGTTTTTTTTTATTTTAAAGGTTATAGGAGGCAATATATATTTATATTAAGACAGCTATCGGACGATTTTTTGTGTGTATAGTCTCGGTGTGAAGGATCTAAAGGGCCGTATGTTCGATAAAAAGAGCTTTAAAAATAGATCTACTCTAACTATGATCGCCATAACTTAGACAAGTGGAACTGTTTTGCTCAAGAAACCTTGCGTCAAACTTTGACAATTTCGGTTCAAAATAAAAAATAGAATTTTTCGCTTTCTTCAATTTTTCTTTGCAAAAAATGTCCTCTCTTGCAATGTTTTAAAAAAAATGTTGTTAGTGGTAACTAAGATTTTATAGTTGACAGCCCATAATTTTTATGAGTAAACTATTAAAAGAAAGCAACTCAACTTTTTATTAAGCTGTGGCCCACCGTAATAAACGTAGAGATAACGAAACCATACCTGCTCCAATATTTAGTTAGCTCTAAAATGTTAACTAACGCCAACTTAACACCGTTGAAAAAAAAGTATATATATAAAAAAACTTGTAAAAATTAAGTTAATAACAGTATACCTTGTCGTAGGGCCAAAAATTAATAGCTGAAGACTTAAAAAGAAAGAAACGGATGAAGGGATCAATAATAAAAAGAATATAAATAAGAAGTCAAAAAAAAAATTATATAATGTCTAAAACCAAAAAAAAAAGTGTGACTGAAGTTTCTTAAAGGTGGAATTATTTAAAGAAGGGAATGACTAAACAAAACAAGAAAATTTCGATAAAATAGATGAAGGGGTTAAAAAGTAATATGATTGATAAAATAAGTTAAAAAAAGAAACATGAGGAGTACTTTACAGATACGTTCAATATAAAGTTGATATTAATAAAATATATTTACAAAACGAACTTAAAATTCTCGATATTGTCAAAATAAACAAAAAAAGTTTATTTATATAGCGGTTTTGAGAGAGGATAGTAAAACTGCCAATTAGTTTAAATAAATCATAAAACGTTGAAAATGGTAGCATTTATTATACTTTATGATCCGAAATTAAATTCAAAATAGTATGATGTAAGTTGAGATAACAAAAGCGAGGAGGATGGCTGCAATTGTAGTCTGGCCAAAAAATTAGGATCACATGTAATAGTGCTCATGTCTTGAAAACGATATACTTAATTTAATTTTCTTTTGTAGCATTACAATCTTAAAAAAACAAGCAACTCACGTTTACGACTGATCAAAAAAGATCAAGGATATTAATTTTTTAGGCATTTAGTAAATTTAATGATTATCTAAACTTTATTTCTAATGCGGTATAAGAGAGTTATAAGCTACTTTAAACTTAACCATCTCAATTTTCCTTAAGGTCTGACTAAGTTAGAAAAACAATGGTAGTTTCTTTTTTTTAATAAGCATTTCATAATGAGTATTTGGATATCAAGCTGAAGATATAAAAAGTGGGATGAAAAGAATGGCAAAGTCTATGTGCAAAACATTTATTTATCCAGAAAGTTCACACCAAAGAAATATCCCTGAGACTTTCTCCAAAGAAATTCGAGAAATATGAAAACAAGCTCTCCAAATTTATTTAAAGCTGCCAAAATTCATATTTTAAGTTTAATGAAGGGAGATTTTTTCCCAAGTTTTCCTAGGAATATTTCAGAACTTGTTAAAAAACAGCAGAAGTCATGAACTTAAAAATATTCGGTTGATACAGTGGGCATCACATTTTATGAGTAGTTGAGAATAAACCAAAAATAATCCCTTTGTTTTCAGGAAACCGATTTTGCTCAGTCGTAATAAGCTTTGTAATGGTAGTTAACAAATGTGTTTCTTATTAGATGACTTGAAGCAACTAATACTTGACAATGGTGACTTATTTATAAAGCATTGTAAATATGGTGTTGTCAAGGAATATATAAATTTCGCGGGTGAGGGCTCTAACTAAAACCTAACAGAAAATTGACGAATTGTGGGACAGAGGTAGAAGAGGTTTGGTATTTTGTTTTCTTTTTTTTTCTTATTGCAGCATTAATGAAGCGTTGCCTTCCTGGTTCCAAAATGAAACATGAAAAAAGCAACTGTAGTTTGAAATGATTATCTTCTTACTTACATCTATTATTTGCATTGATAGCCTGAAATATTATAATAATATATAAAGCTTGAAATAATTACAATTCCTTTACTCTACCACAAACTGATGTAATGGTCTTAATTTATTCTAATTTCTTTCAATATCTTGATAATAAGCATTTAATTGTGTCTACGATTTTTTAAGTTTTCGTAAACCTAACCTAACCCTTATTAAAAAATATGTATAGTACTTTAAGTAATATACATTTCATATTA